TGATTTTTGTACCTCTGCTAAGGTGCCTGTTTGAAAGGCACCTGTCATGGTGGTACTTGACAATAAACTTTTTCTTAATTCTGCAGACTTTTAGGCATCAGCTACATTTTCAGAGGTGCTATAAGAGTTTTAAAGCCTCAGTAGCTTAGATTTCAGTAAGGGATTTAGGATCTTTTGTGCTGAATTTTTTTAAATGCATGAGGCACTAGGTATTTTGGAGAAATGTTTTGCAGGAAATGAGAATGCCAGACCAATTCTGTGTGCTACTGAACATCTGTGATGTTTTTAACTTTTAGTGTTACTTATATGTACCATTTTTGTAGCCTAGAAGTGGAAATATCTCTCTTTCTCTCCATTTTTCCCCTATATTAAAAGTACGCTGAGCCATCCAGTCCCTAAATGCATGCATTGCAGTTTGCTAATAAGTATTCCTGCAAATAAAGTAACAGGCATGCCATTCAAATTGGATATAATTCTTTATCACAATATTCTCTGTCTTCTTTCCTGAACTAGCTAGAGATGATTACAAGTACGTCTCTGGAAAAAAAGCCTAGGACACCCTAAAGCTGAGTGAATTCACAGTGTCTCGGAGGAGTGAATGAGGCACTAGAATATAAATAGGAAGTATAGCATCAATACTAAACAAACGCTACCAAGGTCTTTGTGAGCTCTTATAACTTCAGATATTCACTGTTAATGAATTTCACTCTAGATAACATGGACCCCATTGCTTGTGGTGGCAGCACTGCTTTTTGGAGCTTATTTTTTTTCTCCTGATTTGAAAACAGTCCATAACACATTTTTTGCCTTTGCTGGATATCACTGTAAATGTCCACATGAGCTCACTGTTAGCAAAGTATGCCAAGTATTACAGTTATGTTATGAGTTAGCTTAAAAAATATAAATGAAGGCAAATCAATCTTTCTTCTCTCCCAGTCTCTCAAGCACACGGGAAAGTATTTAGGGCTGAAACAGAAATTTTATGAAGACTATGTAGCAAAAAGGCAAACAAGGAATTAATATGCATTGAGATCTTTCACTATTGACCATGATAATATGATTAAGCAGTCTACCTTGAGCGCATCCTTATATTCATTTATTCCAGAATCAAACCTCAAATTCCATAGCAATGAATGAGTGGGTTTCAGTAAAACAAAAAGTGACAGGGAGAGATCTTATTTTTGAAGCATGAAATGCTAATTTCATTCTGTCTATTATCTGTTATCTGTCTATTTTCATGTATTTCTGCCTCCTAGATCATGCTGTAAGCAAATGAAACAAAATGTAGCAAAAATGGCATTTCCAGTTCAGGTGAAAGCAGTATAATACAAGACATCTTACAAAAAATTCTGAATTTGCAGCTCTAAAGGTACCAGACACAAATTAGAAATCTTTCAAGCATTAGGAGGTTTTGGTTACCTCTGTATCTGTGGCTTTCATACTTCTCTTCAGTGTTTGATCCTCATAACCTATATAAGGATATTGTTACTGCTGAGCTGCCCAATTTGACTGTTTAGCTCTGTTTGGGTAGAGAGATGTTTTTACCCTTGGAGTTAGTAATATCTGTCTGGATGTAACAGCAAAAGTGGAGGGTAATGTCTATGCTTATGTTTTTACTTTTGGTGGAACAATCTCAGGAAGCAAAATTTAAGGCTAGAATACATTAGTTTAAACATTTTAAATCATTTGCATTTAACTGAACCTGGATGACGTGATGGGAGAAGATTCTAATCCTTACAGTTCTATGGAAGTTTTACTTCCCAGAACTTTGTAGTTAAAAATAGTGTTGCTAGACAAACTAAATCAAATCTTTTTCGGTGGCTTTCTTCCTAAATTCCTGCTTCCATTCCCAAAACTCTGCAGCTCCTCCATCATTTTTGTCACCATCCTTCACCTTAATTAATATTCCCAAATCTGATTTTTTATTTCTAAATGCAATCAATCCTCTCTTATTTCCTCAGCTCATACTCTGTGGATCCAGCTTTATAGTCTTATTCCTCTTTTTCCATTAATACTGTTTCCATTCTACCTAGCCCAATTTTCCTATCTGGCATACGAGATGCACAGGGCTGAGGTCTGTGGAGCTTAGGTAATATTCTCAGCTTGCTTCTCCAGAAAAGCTGTCGCTTTCACAAATGACCCAAAATGAACGCAGTTTGTGACAGTAGTGGGGAAGATCCAGGGTTTATGATTTAGAAAGAAAATTCCACCGAGCAAAGATTGCTGTTTTGAGTAATATTTGGTTGGAGTTAAAAGAGACACCTCTCTAATGTAAAGGGATCTTATTTGAAATGGGCAAATTCATCAGTGGAGTAGGTTCTGGCTTGATTCACTACTTTCAGACTGGTTTAACTGATTCTAATTATAAGCTACTATCTAGAGCTGTTATAATTTGCCAGATATTTCAACCTTGATGAGCAAGCCCCTTTAGGCTCACTTGGGAAAGCTTACAAACAAGGAAATTCAGTGCTGTTCACCCGCTGGGCTTGGGACAAAAAGCAAATATGAAAGCTGCCAATATTTCTATATTTGCTTGTTTCATCTGAGTGGGACCAGTGCAATGACACAGAAAAAGACTCTTTAAGCCCAGAGCGAAAATAACACACTTGAAGTGCTTAATGGGTTTCTTCTAAGAGATTTCTTCAGCAGCTTTAATAGAGCTGGGTGAACTACTTGAATGAAAAAACTTCAGCTGATGAAATTCAGTATTTTTGTCAGTGTCTGGATTGTTCACTAAGGGATTTGATTTTGTTTCTAATTTTTAATTATTCACAAACCAGAGCATGAGCAGTGCATGCTATGTATATTTCTGATTCATTACATGCAGTACAAGACCACTTTACTGCATTATAGTGTCTGTGTAAAGTGAACGGATGCACTTGCCAGAACTAGGGGGAAGGGGAACACAGGACTATGTTGTAAGAGACAGCTTGGAAGACATGGGGCACTTTGTCCTGTTTGGAGCTGGGTCAACAGCATGTGAAGTATTTTAAACTTTACACATTTCAGAATACTTCAATAAAATCTTAAAAAGGATTGTAACATTTTAGTAAAGCATCACATTTTAAATGAATGCTCCTTTATAATCAATGCAAAATTATACACACAAATGACCTAATGTCAGGTCTTTGCCTAATTTATTTTGCCTTTGTGCAAAGACTATGGGAAAATTATTCACATGACCCCAGTAACAAAGAGTGTAGTTACATTACCTTATATATATTTATAAATAAATATTACTACAGTTAAAATATATTAAAATAGATAATACAATAACAAATATATATTATAATAACAAGTACATATACATATATATATGCATTTGCAAATATTTAATACTCTAGTTAAAGCATATCTCACTGCCATCCAGACCCTAGTAAAAGTAATAAAATCTGCCTGATCATTTGGGATCAGGTCCTTAGTGTTAGGATTTTGGCCACAGATTTGGGGAACGTTCAGGTGAAGCAGCTCTTCCTGTCATTCTTTGTTAAGCTTTCAGTTCCATTTCATGTTCCTCTTTGTCACAGATAGTTAATATACCTATTTCTGGAACTTAATAAAATTCTGTTGAATAGATCCAGATGTCCTGTGATAAAAACTGTTTAATGTGATGATGCATGGTTTCATCTGACAGTTTCCCATTTGCTAGGGTCACTAGGACAGCGTACAGGAAAAAGACAAATGTTTGGTTTTACAGTACTGGCTGGAAGAAGGTGGATTTGGTAATAAGGTCCATGTTGGGGTATAGATCAGGCATGTTTGAAGCTTTTCATCTAGTCTACCCAGAAGGTGTATTTCACTTATACTAGAGATGAATTTACCAAAGTGAGGGGGCTGTAACCTTCCTTAAATATCATCTCACATATGACTGCAACATAAAAAGACGTCTGTGGTAAAGAAACGTGGTTATAGGTATCTGACTCTGATATGAAATTTGACTCTAAAAAGTTGTGGCTTTCATTTCAGGAAGAAGTTTTCAACCGTCTTGTAACATGAGGTTGTGAGACTTTAACATAAAATCCTCTAGTCTGAAGATGATGTGTGAGTGCTATTACCCAGAAAATAACGTGGGTTAGATGGCATAAGTGTGTGCAACTTCCCTCCCCAAGAAATAAGCAAACTGAATCCCTCAGCCAAGTTTTAATGATTACATGGGTAAAATGGGCAAAAAAAAAAAAATAAAGAACATTTTTCTCCTTTATCTTTTCCATTGTTATTTTTATCTTTTCTTTTTATTAGTGATGAAATATATGAGAGAATGGAAATTTTTCTTACCAGATTTGTCAGAAAAACATAGTGGAAAACTTCAGATGAAAATAGGAAATTCAACTGGAAATTTTTTGTGAATTTGTACATATCTATACCTTTTTTTTCTTCTAGTGACCTCTTACACAGTCTTATTCTCTCTTATTTAACTGTTCTGGGTTTCATGCATAGATAAATGATAAGGACTGACTGCAGGAAGCAAAAAGGAGAGGGAGGATTTCATTCAATTAAGCCACCCTTCCCATTCACACAAGTAGCAGAGCTAGATGGCTAAAAGATTTCAAAAGTTGTCCTGTTCTAAATGAAACCAAGTCCTTTTGAAGTATTTTGGGGAGAAGTAATGGAAATAGCTAAGGATTCAGACAGTAGATTTGCAATTGATCTTCTACAACCCAAGGGAATGCCCTGATTATCACGATGTTTGGTGGTTCTGAGATGAGCCTCCTTTTGGCAAGAGATGACATCCAGGATTTTAGAATCCTTTCAAATTGGAAAAATTAAACAAAATTGGTACATTCCAGTAAATGTACAATAATGTATTTTATTTTTGTAGTTACCAATATGTGACAAATAATGTATATTTGCATACACACATTACTTATTTAACATAATAATACATACAATACATTATGTATATTATGTATTATACGTACATAATAATGTACATAATGTACATTACATACATTTTATATTTGTATAAATATTTATATTCATAAAAGTATATAAATCCCTTCAAAGGATCTTACAATGAAACATTTAGTTGCAAAATTGAGATTCAGCTTTCGTGGAAAGAGAACTAGTTAGAACCCTGGTTTAGTACTAATGACTAGAATAGATGGAGAAGCAATTTTATTACCTATTGCACTGATTTTTTTCCTGGAGCAGAAAACATGAGGTTAACTGTGGTTCTAGCTATGTGCTCTAACTCTTAAAAAAAATATAAATTGGGTCCAGGTTTGACTTCACTGTAGGTTCTATATGTCCTTTTTACTTGGTCCTTTTCTAGTTTTTATAGAAATAAAGAGATGTCAGTGAACCCGTTTCTGAAAGTTAGGAAAAGATGTAATGTTCAAAGGTTAAAATGTTCATCTTTGCCTGAATATCAACCTCTCCACCCCCAAATGTATATTAGGTTGAAATTGTGGGAGGTTCTTTTATTCTGACAGCCTTATAACTGAGATATATTTTCACCTGTCATGTAAATCAATAAAATATACAGTACTTAATCCTTAAATGTTTCACTGTTAGAATCATTTTCTGATCCCTCTGGATTAACGCATTGTAAAATAGAACATTCAATTTTATATGAATAAATTAAGTGTTTTGCAACTTACAGTAATGAGATAGTTGGTTCACATAACTGGTTGATATGCTGCAGCCATGAGTACGTTCAGTTTGGAGGCCTGCTTTTCTTAATGAGATAAAGCTCCTGTTTACTTCACTGACTGTTCTGTTTGAATAAGGACTGCAAATCAGATCATTACTTCTACATTTTCCCTTTTTACCTCTTATATTCATAAGTTTTCCATCAGTTTTTATTTTTCTTTTAATTATGAACTATTATGTGGCCATAAACTTCATAAAAGATGGCACAATTGTAAGATAGTCATGTTAATTGCTTTGTTTCCTGAAAAGTCACACAGAAATGCTTCGTCTTTACAGGGGACAGTGGCAGATCCTAAACATATCTTCCATGGAATAGCAAAGGAAAGGTTACAACACCTAGTGGCAAAGATTTGGCAAGCTACTTGTTAACAATTTAATGGTATGAATATTTGGCTCCCTGAAGTGTATAGACTAGGTGGTTGTAGGGAAGTGAGGGAGTAGGGAAAAGGCTTTGCATAAAGTTCCCCAAAGTCAGATAACATTGTAGATGGAGGATCTCACCTCTGCTGATTTTGCAGGCAACTGAAGTCTAACAGAGCAGAAAGGATCTCCCCCTGGGTTTTGTGAGGCTGCCGCTCAACGCCTGCTGCCAAGGAAGCGCCCACAGCCAAAGATCCACATTTACTTGCTAAAAGTAATTGGCACCTCTGAAGGTCAGGCTTGTGTTGACTCAAGTGGAGCCCATGATGCCCTCACAGGCTGCTCTGTGCTGTAACCACAGTGGAAGAAGCAGAAGGAACAGTTGACCTGTGCTGGTAATAAAGTAGCAGAGATGTGAAAACACGGGCTTCAGTGCATGTAAACAAGGTGCAAACAGCTCACATTAAGAAAGAATAATTTGTCTATTTTTATCTAAATAAATTAATAGTGGTTAGAACTTTCTGGAGCATTCTGCTGCCATACATTTGATTATAATGTAAATGTAGCCAGAAGTTAGGTATCAGTTATGAAAATATGGAATTTAACCCTGCTGTACCACAATCGTCCATTTGTTTTTATGTTGGCTAATTACTCCCAGCTTCTGTAACACTGTGATCAAAATTGGTTTTAGAATTCGTTAGGTATATGTTAGAAACAATACCTTTGAATAAAAGAACAACATCCTTGTTATGTAGAGAAGTATTACTGTGAAGCAGAGAAGTATTACTTCTTTAATCTTTTTAAAGGAATTTCATGGTAACTGCATGGCAAATTGGAGAGGAAACTCATAGGTTTGATAAGCTCCTTGGTAAACATTGGACAGGCTTCACATTTTTGCCTGAACTTGTCACAAACACATGTGAGACAGTTCTGTAAGATGAAAATGAAAATACTTATGTAGAGTAAAAAGACTTATCTTTATTTCTCTTTTGGATTTTAATTATTAAATGATGTACTCCCCATCCTCCTCTTCACTGTTGTTGTTGTTGTTTTTTTCCTCTTTTGGCCCAAGGACGTCTTCTCAGGCATGTTATGCAGATGAGTTTTTATTAATACATATTCCTATTCATATTAAATTTTAACTGTAAATGGACAAAGGCTTGGGTCAGTGACAGTGCCCCAGAACCATCAGAAATGCAACAGCAACTCTTGAGTGGGTAACTGATGCACACTACAGACTTATTTGGTGTAACCATTTGTAGTCATCTTTCAATCTGCCATGTTCGTGTGCCACTCTGTCTTGCATTGGACGAGATTTAGTCAAAAGAAGAGGGTTTTTTTTGAGTGTGCTTTCAAAGAAGAGAAGAATACTGGCTAACAATTATATAGTCTGGATTTGAGTCATATATGTAGGTATTTTTTAGTAGCTTCTTGTCATTCTCCTTTACTGGATGCCCAATGTCACAACAGGAGGGTCTCTTATTTTGCAATAATCATCTCTGACATGCTGTTGGCAACATTATCCTTCAGGTTCTTTCTGTTTTCTTCGAGAACACATTTGCCCCATGGGGGATTAAAAAAGCATTCTGTCTTTAAAAAAAGGAATTAAAAAAGTAAAGCTAAAAGATACTTGTTGGAATTCAGTGCACCCCTTATTTTACCAGCGCTTACAAGACTAAGTGGGTTATCTATACTTAGCCTTACTTTTACTTCCTTCAGCATAGTGCTAGTAAGATGAAAACAAGGTTTTCTGATAGTGCTGTAAATGGAAATATCAAATGCTGTGGGCAATGATAGAATATAAGTCACGGTCTTTGGGATGACGTTGTCTGAAAGGATCCAGCGTTAATGCACTGGATAAACTGGGAGTGCAGTGGATAAGCTAAAAGGGTCTTAATTCTTTCACTACCCAAAAAGTAGAGAAGTGGGGCAGATAATCCACTCCCCCCGCCTTTCCTTTAATGAAATTGGATATCAGCACATATGCCTGGGCAAGGAAGTGACCAATCCTCTCGCTACAGCTGTCATCTTCTTTTTTAATTCAAATGGATGAAAACAGATGTAAAGTAGAGAAGTTTCTTGCATCGTAGATCAAATGATTATAGTCCTGTTTAGAAACCACGTCTTAATGATTCTCTAGCACTGCTAAGTCTAATAGATTTACACCTCTCAAAAAATTATATGATTCTGATGGCAGAGAAATGATGAAGCTGGTTTGCAGTGGCTTCATTTTCTGTTTCTTTCATCTGTCAAGAGTTTCCCTCAGGCAAGGCACTTTACCTGGCTAACTATTTACACAACATTTGTCAAGTTCATTTAAAACTTGATGAAACTAAGTTAAAAATCATACGAGATTAGGAAAAGCAGACATTGATATGGAGGATGATCGCATAACCCTTACTTCTTAAGGAAATCAGATTAAAACTGTAAAATTATAAGGTACTTTCTTTGTGAGACAGAAGAAATTAAGAAGTGTGAGGTAGTAGCAGACAGATGATGGTTCCGCAGAAGCTGAGGGGAATTTTGTTTTACATTTTTAGTATTGCTGTAGCCTAAGTCTCATTCCTCAAAACTGTCTTCAAGTAAATCATCCCCTAATAAAAACAGGGGTTTTTCCCTCTGTCAAGATGACAGAGTTCATTCAGTTTCCTCATTCCATAATTATGCTTTTGTGGACTTTTTCTGAAAAGTAGAGCTAAGCTGGCTATGAATATGCATTTGCAGTTTGTTTGTGCCTTCCTATTGTAGTTTTATATGCTTATTTACAAACCTATTGACAATGCAGTGAAGAATGATGTATTCACAAAAGAAATCACTAAGTACTGCTTTTAAAGAAATAAAAATTCTCTTCTACAGAATTCTATTTATAGAGAATGAATGACTGCCTTTTAGCATGTATCATTAAATAAATATAGTTTTCTGAACATACTTGTCTTCATGTTCTTATATGCATATATGGTTATACTGAATAATCAATACTTTGTTTTACCAAGAAAAAAAACAGACTGGAAGAAGTCAGGTGGTCTATATAAGGGCAGGAGATCTATACCAGGAGAGTTTTCTTCCTAACAAAACAACAAAACAAAGAATCTCTGTTTTTAAAACTGGTTCTGAACTGCCTTTCACCTTGTGAATAACATATGTGGATGCTAAATGCTCATTGTGCTGTGAATATGCAGAAAATGAATCCAATCTCACCCCTGCAAAGGAAGTCTGCGTAGCGGAAAAGTCCTTGCAGGGTAGAATGATGACATGGCATGATGTCACCTCTGCAGGACAAAGAACAGGGGCAAGCCTTGCAGTGTCATTTGCAGTCACTGTTATTTTTAATGCCCTGGATACTCCAGTTTGAAAGTTCATAGGCTAATAGCGATAACTGGTTTCTGGAGATGGCAACAGACTTTGAACAGAGGACATATGCAGTAGAAATGGCACAGAGTGTATCTGAATGATTTCAAGGCAAGTAAAAATCTGAAGTGCTTGAGCTTCTATAAGCTGGTGCAGAAACACATGCAGGCATTTGTGTTATAGATGGACAGAGTATCTGCCAGCTACTCTCATCTTCTTCTGAACCAACTCTGTTAACAGTTGGCAGATTCCACAGAAATACTGTGTGTGAGAAGAGCTCTAAAGGGCAAGAAGGTAGTGGACTTACCCAGTTCAAGGAGAGTATTCTCTGCCCACAGGGAAGAAGGTGGAGAGACATTTCAGCAGGTTATAAGTATCACAGGTTAGGGGGCAGAGCAGGTGAGGGATGGTGCAACCATAACCTTGTTAGCACACCTGGGGACATTTATGTCAGTGATTGACCCTGTTCTCAGTGTTTCTCAAAATACATCTCTTAACTCTTCTGACCCAATAGCTTCTTCTGGGTGGTTATAAATAGCGGAAAATGATGAATGATCACTGGGCACCTTTTCTGCACCCAGTAGACTGTGATTTCCACACCAATACACTGGTCAGACACTGTTGCTGTCATAGCACAGCTATTCTCATTTTCTGCTAAAAAAGTTGCAGATTGTTGTGTTTTACATTTTATTTTTCATTATTTTCCAAGCTTCACACGCTTTTATCTGTTCAAATCAGAAACCTGATTATAGCCACTCTGGTTCCCTGAACTTCTTTCTGAAGGCTGCAGGACAGAGAATGAAGTAATCAATACGGCCTTTTGATTAAAAATGAGATATAGAGTTCCAGCATGCTAGAGCAACTTAACCTAGGTTTTATATTTCGATATCCAGGAAAGCCTGTGGTTTTGTGTGTATTTCCTTAAATGTTTTACCAATGAGAAACACATTTAAATAGCACATAGTAAAAATTAAATCTACGTAATTTTTTTACTATTGCAGATATCATTATGAAACATCTCAAGACTAAATTTATTCCAATAATCATTACAATGATGAAAAAATTCCTTGCTTCAATAATTGATTTATGCTTCATTTAAATGTACAGAGTAGTTTCAATATCATTTCTTATTAGCTCTAATGACAAATTTTAAAATAGCAGGGCTCTGAAATAAAGATGAAAATTTGCCATACAAGTTATTACATTTAAATGGACTTAATATTTAATATTTAAGAAATCATTTGATGTAAATAGCCATCATGAATCACTGCAAATATACTTAGATGTAATTAAACCTTTTTCCTTACCCATATCTAGTTGCTTCATAATAAATTATTTCCTTTCCTCTTTTTTATTTTTTGAGGATCTTCAACAATTTGAATTGTAGAAAACAGAGTTTTCTTCTGACATATCAGAAATGCTTATTGAGATTTTCAGTATTGCAGTAGTTAAGAGATTAGATGCAGTGTTATATATGGGCTAGTATTATATATATAATGCCAGTATTATCTTCCTGTTTTGAAGTTATATGCAAGCTTACGTATTCCACTGCAAAAGAAAAACATAAAAACCTCAACAGCAGAAAACTGTGAAGCTTCCAAAATATGTTGAATTACAAACTTTTGTGGGCAGAAGTTTAAAAAAAAATCTCTTTTTGTTCTGTACTGTAAATTCCCTTCATATGAGATCCAAAGGGTAACTTTATCCAAGGCAAGATCCTACAGGCATGGCCAGGAGGCAGCTTACTGTCTTTTGATGCATCTGACATGGTTGCTGTTTGCTGACCACAACAGTCCCAGTTACAGTCAGCCCCACAGTTACATTATAGCAGTCATAGCTGCTTCACAGCTGCTGGAAGTCTGTGAGCTGAATTCATGCAGTACGTTTAGGATGTTAAATAATAAATGGTGACATTTGGTAGGTACTTTACTAGAGCAGTAGTCCCAACAGTTACTCACCTATTTAAACTTAGGCACACACAAGAATACTTCAGTGACAAAAATATTGCAAAATTACTTACCTATTGATAGAGGTGGTCAGTTAGCTTTGTGATGTCAGTGGCATAAAGTGAGCAAATGGGACGTTACCATGGAGTTCCATTGGGATCTGCACTGAGATCGGCTCTGAGCAGGATAATCATAGATGATCTGGGAAACGGGAGGAATAATGTGATAGGATTTTTGCTGATGATAGTAAGTCATTAGCAGTAAATACTAGGACTGACTGAAGAATTGTGAAGAAATTCCTCAGTGACTGGCTAATAAAAGGGCAAATTAAATTCAGTGTCAGTAAACATAAAATGATGTACACGGGAAAAAAAAATCCTAACTTAACAAATAGAGTTGATGGACCCTATCTGGCCATTGCCACTCAAGAACATGATCTCAAGGTTTAATAGGTAGATATAACCCCAAGACTGCAGTCTTCTCTGTGCTCAGAACTGAAATTTAATATTAGGAATTATTAGGAGGAAAATAGAGAACAAAACTGTGTAAATCCATTGTGCACCTGTGCTCCTGACAGGTAGCTCCCATTCCTTCTACCTCGTAATGGTTTAGAGGGTAGAACTGAAAAAGAGTTAAGGAAGAGTTGGGCAGGTGATCAAAGATGTGGAACAGCTTCCCTGTGAAAAATGTCTTGGTAGTCTCACACTCTTCAGTGTGGAAGATTGAATGAAAGAATAAATAATATAGACTGAATGAAAGTATGATACAGAGTAGCATGCAGGAGAAGAAAAGGAGTGATTGTTCTCTCTCTCTTCCAGTATACAAAATAGGGGCATCAAATGAACCTAACAGGTGTCAGATTCAGAATAAGGACAAGAGAAATATTGCCCAGTATATATTGCAGCTGTGGAAGCCCATAATACAAGACCTTGTAGATGCTACAACTGCATATGGGGTCAGGATTTGTCCTGGACAAGTAATTCTTGCTTAGGGAGTCTCCAAGTCATAAAGAGTTGATAGCTGGCATAGCTTTCTAGGGAAATGCTGCAATATCAGTTTGTTATGTGTCTTCTTGTACTCTTTCTCTGACATCTGCTTTAGGCTACTGTCAGAAACAGGATACTGACTGGATAGATAGACCTTTAGTTTGACCCAGTGTGTCTGTTCTTAAGGTCTTAGTTACCAACGATCATTTACAAACACTATTAGAAATACTTTGAAATGATACTGCTGATGGCTTTTACAGTTTGTGAAGGGCTTCTTTTTGATATATATGAGATGAACATTTTCCTCTATATTTGTTTTACATTTTTCTTTGCATCTAAAGTGAAAACAACAAAAGTGATTGCTTTTTATTTCATTTTCTTATCAATAGTATCAGCAGAAATTTACACTAAGCCTATTTTACTTTAGAAATAATGTAGTTCAAGGAGAAAGATAAAGCTTCTTTGAATAATATGAAAAACATGATGACATTGATTAGTAGCGATGTAGAGCAGCTATTTTCTAAAGACTTATTTTGAAAAGGACGTGTGGCTACTTTTATTCAGTTACTGCCTGTCATGCCTGCATTTTTTTACAGTGACTTCCACTTGCCATAACAACAGAAGTTTAACAAACAGTATTTATGTGCTTCAGGCTTACAAGTGTACATAAACATAAAAGAAAAGTAACAGAATGCAGGTTGCCAATCACATCATCCAGTTTTCCCCAAAGCTTTGAGATAGTTTTACTTTGCAAAGAGTTTCTTTCTTGTTTAGCTTTCCGAAATTTGGACAATTTGGAATATTTTCTATGAGGGAAGTTAGTTGTTTTCCACATGGAAAATCCAATTGAAAAAAAAGATTTATTCTCTTGAAAACATGTATGTAATGCATTCATATATCGCAAGTACCTGTTTTTGGTGTCTGTTAATACACTACAGACTTGTACTACTTTAAGAAAAAAAGTGAAAAGCAAACTTTAACCCTCTAATGTTCCTAATACCAGGCCATTGAAGTAAGTGCGTTCAAGACTAGGTTGGAGAGTGAAACATGTGAATACATCTGTCAAGGTAGCTAGCTATAAAATATTTGCACCTTTTTCATAAGGGTTGCATCAGCACAAGCAGTATACATATTCTGCCTTGAGCATTTGCTTCTCAGAAATGTAGAAAAAGTAGCTGGAGATGTGAGGGAGTTTAGCCATAAGCCATAAGCATTTTTCCATTCCCTTTATGTAGATGAGAAGTATTTCTGGCCTGGCAGCTCTCTCACAAAAACTAACAAATGGAAGATATCATGGGCGAAGCACGCACAAAAAAAATCAACCTAAGATAAAATGATATAAACTGACAAGAAATGCAAGGGAATAGTAATGTGCATTTGAGAAAGGCATACATTAAAGCACATATAATAAACACCCGAAAACCTTGAAATAATATCTATATCGTGGGAGATTATTAAAAACAAGTCATCTCAAAATATGGACTGAATTTGTCCATGCCCCATATTGGCCTTTATACTTCAAAGTTTACAAAAAAAAACAGTATTACTTTTATGTCAAATTTTGTGAATTTGTATATGATTTTGTCCATGAACTTGTCCATAACTTTGCTCGCATAATTGTCTTAGCAATTTATCACATCTAAACCTTAATTTGAAGCTAACATTAAATTAATATTCCAAGTCAAGTACGCTAGATATACTTTCCTTTCATAAATGACAATCTTAAAGGCAAGTAAATATTGCGTATATAAATGAAAAAATCAAAATCTTTTGTTACTTTCAAAGTTTCGGATTTCTGATTAAAATTATAGTACGTTCCTTCCCTTCCTTAGACAACAACAAGCTTAGGTAATTATGCTGTATCCAGTTTTCAAAACACAGTCATCCAAGCTTTATTTACAAATCATGTGGTGCTAATAGTTTCTTGCATTTTTGGAGCAGAAACAGGTAATCTCTTTGATTTGACTCGATTTCACTTCTTTCTTTTAAAAGGAAAGTAAAATGAAATACAGTGGAATGTCAGTGTTGAACTCAGCCACTGATACAAGACTTAAACATTCTAGTACATGAACTTTGAGATTGTCTATATAAATAATGGAATGCAAAATTAAAGCTTGGGGTAAAAATATCATAACATACAATTTAATCCTTTAAGGTTCATTGTACTTGGGCATAAAGAAGTTTAGTAGCAAATTGTTAGGAAATCATTTTATGCCATATATTTTATTGAGATGGTATACTGTTAAAATATATTTCAAATGCAATATATATTTTTGATATGATAAAATAATTTGAAAGATGTCAACTTGAATCACACAACAGTGATTATTTACTAATGTAAGACAGAGACACTTTGATTCTAACAGGAAAATGTCTGGCCTGAAGTCACACCTTCATATGCATCTAACAGTGCTCTCATTTTATCATATTTTAAGAATCCACACCTCATATTTTCTGTTTCCTTATATGGATGGTGCTAATGACACACGTAGTAAACCTTCTATTAGCTTTGTACTTCAATAGGATTTGTTTAATTTCAGCTGTCAAACAATAAGGAGAAAAAAAAATCCACTTTTTTGATAACCCCAGGATTTAAAATGCATTATCAGTACAACGGCAGTAAATGTTTTCCAAACAGTCTTATTTATGGGCCATGTTCTTTCTTGGTGTATATACAGATCTGAGCAGCATGTGAAATCCCTCATTTGTTTGCCATAAATTGTGCATGTTACCGATATAAGATTTCTTACGTAAGAGTGGTTGACTAACCCAGGATTGGTGGAGTTGATATGCAACATTTTACCTTCAGCTCACTTACTCAAATCTGACTGGAGCTGGTACTATCTGAAAGTCATTACCATCTGATGACTGTTCAGTAATCAATCTATATGAAATGTATATGCTAGTCTATTTCTTAGTGGAGAGGTAACTTATACACATTACTTGCATGTTTGTGAAGCCCACAATGATAACTGATTTCTCATTGCTAGGATGGACCACTTAAAGTTTGTAATAAAAGGCTGGGCAGTATGGGAAGCCACTATTATTGCCTGTTCTCTAACCTGGACAATGGAAGCGCTGGTGTTTTTATTGAAGTGTCCATCAGACACTTCACTGAGACTGCCAAAATGTTTTCATATTTACATAAACTGACTTGGTCTTTTACCTATAGATTTACACTAGAAACTTCTGTGAAAATTAGCCACTGAAATGTACCTCTTCTCTCCCAATACCTCCCAATTTTCTCTCTCACGCCATCAGCTCCATATTTATACAGAGCATAGCAGTTTTACACTTTGTCCTATTCGACTGTATTGAACAGAACTATGTGAAATTTCTATCTATAATATGAATTTTGACAAAATATTATCAATTCTTTATCATAGTCATAATGTACAAAAATTATATTTTAGTACTCTATTTGCTTTTTTTACATTATATTTAATTTCTTCTGATAGTATTTATAAAATCCTCACTGTCATGGTGTCTGAGGAGCTGGTATTACACTAATATCACTGTAATTATAATTTTATTTTACAATTCAAAAAATTATCTTTCATTAAAATATTACAAAATTAGGCAGTCTGACATCCATGCTTCTTATGATTTTACCAGAGCAATAGTCTGATACTAGAGGATTGAGAGATTTTTTTTAAACTGTGAATTCCATCTGTTTTTACCCTACATAGTCATTCAGTAATGAGAAAACACTGTTCTCCCCACTGAATATTCCTGGTTCAGAGGAGACCGCAAAGATATTTTCAATGCATCTTCTGCTTCATTAGAGTGAATGAGATGCCTACTTGTAAAAATGTTTTCTAATCTTTCCCTTTATGAACATGAAGAAATTGCAGATATGTGTAGAGCACTGCAACTTAGCAAGGGATCAATATAGCTTCTGATGCAGGACCTGACCCTGAAGGCAGCTTTCAAGTACAGATGCCAAAATACACTATGGAGCCTCTCTGCTTAAAAGAGCATACAATGCTACTCTTAGAGTGTCTGTGTTCCTGCCTACTTTAAGCTAGATAAAAGCTCGTTAGGATCCAGGGTCCCAAAGCGACAATACTCATTTTACAAAGTACTTCATTTCATATTTAACTTTAGATATGTGCATAAATCCCACTGAATGAATTTTCTTTTGAATAGGAATAGATTTAAGCCTAAGTTTGATGCTTTCCTGAGATGGTAGGTAGATGTTTCCAAGTGCTTTTT